AGAATTTTCACAGTTCTTTCACAACAAAGTTTGGCAGTATAGTGTAGTTTGCATACACACTCAAATTACTGAGGGCCAGATGTTCAAAGGAATTTAGGTGCCTGAAAATGCAGATAGTTACCTAGCAGGATTTTCACAAGTTCCTCATCAACTTAGGCACTTCATTCTCATTGAAATCAATAAGGGTAAGGCACCTAACCTGCTTGGGTGCATTTGTAAATCCCACTTGGCATCCAACTGCATCTTTAGGCCACTGAATACCTTTGAAAATCTGGCTGGGGGGTTGTATTTAATCCTTATCCCAATCCAAGGCTAAAAAAATTGGACTATAATCTTTATGAGACTAGGTTTTCTCATGAGTTTTCTGGCACTTTCTGCTGCCACTTGGATCAGAAACAACAGGGGAATCATTATCCCTACCCGTTATTTTGGCACGTCTTCTGCCTTTGGTCTCAGGCAGAACCAGGTAGTTTAGAGTCTCACAGAAATAAAGAATAGTTAGGAAAAATTTTAAAACGGAGCTTTACTAAACCTCAGACTTTATGACTTTAAGTACTTCCTGGTACAATATTATTCCACAGTAGACAGTGTACCTTATTTTTTTGTGCTAAAAAATAAATCCATTTGAACCTGCAGGAACTTTAAACTTTAAGGGGAATGTTCATGACAATCAACTGAGGCGAAAGAGATCAGATTTAAAATCTCTCTTGTGTTACTAATAGAGGCAGTCAGAAAGTGCTGAATTAATCGTTCATGTGTCTGATCAAGGAGACTTCAGCTGCTTTTAACACCTTCCCACTTACAGATGAAGTAAAGGATAAACTGTATATATGCTATGACATCTGAGCAGTATGGCAAGTCTCAAAAATAGATATAACAATTCAAAATCAAAAGTTACAACCCATTCACACAGGAGTACTGAAATTACAGACCAGCATGCAAGGAAATAAGATTGTTGATGCAGACATGTGGACAGACAGAGAATTACATAGAAATCACTTACCAAAGTCAGAATTTCTCTGTGATAATCAGATGACATCCAAGATAGATTTTAAGATACTTGGTTGAGCAACATGAATGTTAAGCCGTTACAATAATTAAAATTTAAATGCAAAAACATCTGAGTAAAAGAACAACCTAGACTAGCATACAGTGAAATATAAAAACAATGAGTCTCAGACTACTGATAGGACACACACTTCCAGTAAGAAATATGTAAGACCAAAAAAGTATATGAACTAGACTGGATGAACTGTGCTACAATTCTGTCACAGAAATTGTGAATTTGAATGTGGTCCATGAAACCAAGCGGTGCTGTGATCTGGCGTAGGGGGTTACAGTGCCACTCAAGTTTGGCTTGTCCACCCCTCTATCACCATCTATGGAGGGGCAGACAGGCCAAACCTGAGTGGCGCTGCAACCATGTGCACCAGCCCACAATGTCCTATGGGACAGGAGGGAATGGGAGGCAGACCCAGTCCCATGGGACTGGAGCCGCTGCTCCACAGTGAGTGTGGGGTGGGTATGAGGTGGGCTTGCTCTCCTTCTCCTCTCTCCTACTCAGGGCCTCACCTTTCTTAGCACCTCCTGGCCTTTCCATGACTCATCATTCTTTTCCTGAATCTCTGCCTTGAAATTTACTAACAATTTCTGTGCCAAAATCATAGCCTCAACCATGTGAGACAGGACATATTTTTGGGATCATTAATCTGTACATAAAAGAAATAAGCCCCAAAAGACAGTCCCTTCTAGTTTGGCAGTGAAAAATCTCATTTCCACATACAAGAAAAAGTAGCAGAAGTTAAATCTAGTCACAGATCTTTAAAATATCCTTTAAGCCCTGTCCACACATAGTTTTTTACCATGCTTTTAAAAACAATTTTTAAAGGCAATTTCAGCGAATAGAGTCATTCCATCTGTGTGAATAGCATAATTCCTTCTGAGGTTCCAATTACAGCACAGTACCACCACTCATCTCTTAGGTGCAGGCCATGTCTTAAAGCCACAATCTTGCCCTTTATAGCCAATGACGATTTAAGAATAGCCAAAAGATTATTTTATGGATAAGTACCTTCAGTTCCTCAGTTAGACCCCAAACCCTGAAGATTAGCATCTTCTGAGGATTTTCTAAAATGTTCACCTCACTATGAAAAAAAATATCCTGAATTAATGCAGCCAAAAGGATTCCCTGCTTCTGACTGATGCACATTAGATTAGTGAAAATTCATTTTAATTTCCTTTTTAAATGCATCCAATCTTTTTTTTGCCATTTGAGATTCTAGTTTAGTTTTCCAAATCCTTAACTGCTTGAAGCTAAGTGTGCTGGAGTGTAATTATATCAAGCTATTCTTTGAAACCATATCTAAAGACACAGGATGTGATTCTGCTCCTTCATATGCTAGTGTAAAACAGGATTAACTCCACTGAAATTAAGAAATGCTGGTGTAAAACTGGTGTGACAGAAAAGTCACACCCTTTGAGCTTTTTGTTAATAGACTATTTATCACATGTACTGTTCCCCTGATTTTTTTTTCTTTCCAGAACTTTCTATTCCAACAGTTATTTCAAATGATCTTGAATTGCTCATTGCTTCTTGGCCATAAAAAAATCACATCTAAACAATGAAATTAGTAGGTACTCAGCAAAAAGAGTTTTGCTTTTAAAACTTTTTTAAACCTAGGACTTTAGTGAAACAATTCTGGATCCTTGCTTAAAACTATAAGATGAAAATTGGTAAACAAAAGAACAGTACATTGATATAGTGGATGTATTTTCTGAGAAAATATTTTCAATGGCCTGAAAATGCAGTACCCAAAAATGCTGTTTACATGTAAGATGCAGTTGACAAAAGACCTGACTTTGTAAAGGTAACAACATGAATTAGGGACAGCTAAAAAGAAAGTAACATACATGGTTAGAGTACAATGTTTTCAAAGAGGAGTTTACTGAATGTGATGGATTATCATTTAAGAGAAAGAATGCAGTGTCATCTACTATAAGAAATGAAATGCTGTAAATTCTATTAAAAAAGTGCCCAGTGGAGAATAGAGGGAGAAAACCCCAAAACACTAACACAGTGAGAAACAAAGAGACATTAGTCTTTGATCAGAAATGCCAGTTCAAATGGTGTTTTGAAGTGTCTGCAAGTTCATTGAAACTGAAACAGCAACCAAAAGGAACTTTCAATTAGTCATAAGCCAACTGATAGCAACTGGAAGACTGCGACAATGGAGTTGTTTCACTTTAAGGATATACTATAGCAGATTACTATTCAATTTATTGTGCATACTGCCAATTCTAAAGTACTCAAAGCATAAAAGTTGTGAACCACATGTATTCTATTTATGGCAGAGCGGGATGGCCACTAGAGTGAATCCTGAGACGCAATTGTCAAAAAGGGCTATACAGGAGGGCAGCGAACCTGGAATCTCTCTTGAAAAAACGTGCTGAAATTATCCTGATCCTGAGATACCATGTTAACTCACTTTATCCATTTATCCATACTTTATTTCACTTAAACAGTGCAATGTGCTATCTAAGCAACTAAGTGATGGCAATCATTCAGCTGCCATGAAATACAGGTAAATATTAGGTGCTAGAATATAGCATTTATGCCACAAGCCTGACTATGGGGTGATGCAGAACTGCTCTGTCACAGCATAAGTAATAGAAAGATATTGCCTTGGGCAGGCATGACATCTCCTGGAGCCGCTCCATGCACATGTCCCCCAACGAGTTGGCCCTGCTCCCCTAGCCAGTGGAGAAGTTAGGTGAGAGTCATGGCCCTACCTCCTCCTCCTCCCTCTGCTATTTGGCATTCAGTTCCCACTAAAGAAAGGGCAGCAATAAGCAGTGCCTGAACACATAGGGACTGCTACTGTGAGTGGCTCTTGTGCAGCCACACAAGATGGGCAGGGAGGAGAAGCTTCTCCACAAGAGCCATCACAATCCAGCCCTAGCTCTTGAGTGAGAAGCTAATGGGTTACATTTCTTTTTAAATCCATAAACTCAAGATCAATGGTCTGGCCATGGCTACAGTTGCCGTTTCCCCATTTTCTCAAATGATATATTTCCATTGTGAACATGCTCTTGAAAGAGGCTGTAATTGCTATGTGACAAACTGGTGTTCTTTAGTAATATACAGCAATACCCCTTGACTAGTTTGATATGCCATTTGGCACTTTGCACATTTAAAGTTGCTTTCATCTCTCAAACTCCTTTTTCCTCCTTATATTGAAGTGTGGACTGAAACCTTGTCAAAACAGACAAAACTGTTATATACAGAGTGCATAAATCATTATTCTGATGGGATTTTAGCATTTCCATCCTCGTCAAGCTGGTTTAATTAAACATCATTCACACCTATGACAAGTACAACTGAGTGATATGTTGCTAGGCTTTGCCAAAATATTAATTGAGATCTCATTCAACTAAATGTTAGGGTAGTTATCTGTTGTTTGGCATATTATTAAAGTTTCACGTGCTTTTCTTCTTAAACATAGACAAGTATACTTCTAACCCCATATTAGGGCAGTTTACATTAACGTACATTATTCTACTATAAATAAATACACATCTGCATAAGTCCACCTTTCTTCTTTTTTTCATTTCCATGTATGATAGTGAAACTGAACCAGCACATACCATTACACCATTTTTGACCCTTTTGTCACTGTGAATTGGATTCCAAAATTCCATGACACAGAGAATTACAGCTGCTTTTTCAGATTGCAGTATAAAATTCTCAGCATCAGTTTCTCTATTTCCGATGAAACTATTTCATTTATCAAAAAAGTATTAATTTATTGAAATATTTATCCCATTCTATAGCATATATTTACTTGTTTATTCATTGTATTGCACAGAAAGTTACACACAATTCCTATGACCATTCTTTCCCTTCATTAACTGTAAAAAATTTCAGCTCTAGAGGCAGTGATTAATTTTAAATTAAAATGTGATCGTCTTCTGTTTTTTCTGAAGTCAGGCATGAACACTGTTGAAGTCTGTTCCTCTGTCCCCTACCCCATTTAAACTGAGTCTGAGGAATGTGGTAAAGACACAATAAGGTAAGTTTTATACTGTATATATTTCCTTGAGTAAAAATAATTTATATTCAAATCTAAGCTCAGTTACAGTGCACATAAAGTAAATTGGAGTCACTCTGTGCATCTGAAGAAGTGGTTTTTTTTACCCACAAAAGCTTATGCCCAAATAAATCTGTTAGTCTTTAAGGAGCCACCAGACTTCTCGTTCTTTCTGTGGATACAGACTAACATGGCTACTCCTCTGATATAAAGTAAATTGTTGGCCCATAGCTCAAAATGATTTCATTAACATGATACTGGAAGTAACACACCAAAAATAATAAATAATAATCAATTAAACAAACAAAGGCCAAAGGGTCATATGCTGACTAAATGATTTATTAGACAAAAAACTAAAAAAAATAGATGGGAAATTACTGTTAATATTAATAGCAAAATAAAGAGGAAAAGCAAAAGAAAAGGTTAATCAGCAAATCACTTCAACATTCAAACACATAAGCTCACTTTAGGCTCAACCCTGCATTTCTAGAGCACCCAGAACTCTATTATACTCAATGGGAGATTGGAGATGTGCAAATATTATTATTATAATTAATTATGTTTGTTATGGTAGTACCTAAGGACCAACCAAGAATGGGGCCCTGTTGTGCTTGGCACTGCACAAACACAGAGTAGCTGACAGTCCCTGTTCCAAAGAGGTTTCAAACAACAGTAGTTCAAAGCGCACTAAGGAACTTTTAGTACATGCTAGCAGGATCCACAGGGCGACCTAGTGTGCAGCAGGCTAGAGCAGTGTGCATTGACACCCCAATTTACCGTGCACCAACTCTTTGTATACACAAGTCCTAAAGAAGAGGCTGTGCAGGAGGAAGAGGGTTGGAGTAAACAGCCAATGAGCACAGACCAAAGATAAGTCCAGTCAAAACTGTAGAAAGTTCTCTGAATGTCCGAAGCAGCTTCCGCAGCTGCTACTACGGGCTGTGTTCTCTGGCTGATTCCTTTCTGCAGTTTTCCCCAAGGTCACATTTGGGGGAGATTCCCTACAGGCACAGATAATCTTGCTGAAAAGTAAGGTCCTTTTTGGAAAAGGCAATGGGATATTTTACACATGTACACATATTTAAGAAATCTTATGAACTCTGAGGATATTTTAATATTTAACTCCCTGTAAAATTTTATTTTCAGATTTTTAATTTTCTTTAAGAATATTATTTCTTGGTATATAGGTAAATATTTAACAGACATATGTCTATTAATCAGTAAATCTATGAGTGAGTGCTGCAAATCATCCAGCAAAAAAGCTCCATACAATTTCTAGGCAGATGATCATCTCTGACCCTCCAGATATGTGCACATATGCTGAAGTTTACTACAATGAGAAGTTTACAGAAGTACAATTAAGCATGCATACAAGAGTTTGCAGGGTAAGAAAAGGAGTACTTGTGGCACCTTAGAGACTAACCAATTTATTTGAGCATGAGCTTTCGTGAGCTACAGCTCACTTCATCAGATGTATACCGTAGCTCACGAAAGCTCATGCTCAAATAAATTGGTTAGTCTCTAAGGTGCTACAAGTACTCCTTTTCTTTTTGCGAATACAGACTAACACGGCTGTTACTCTGAAACCTGCAGGGTAAGAGCCTACATAATCATAGGGTGTGCATTAACTCACAAAAATATTTCAGGATTAATTTTAGATTTTTTTGTATTTGTACTTTATTTTCTGTATCTGTCCACTTCATAACACCAGTCCAACTGTATAGATCTATGTAGAATGGGAAAAAAACATAACTAATACAATTTATAAACTTCTAAAAACATTTTGAATAGCTTTTCCATCTCTAACAATGCTACCATTTCAGAGTCTGATATTTTGAATTTTCCAAGGCTAGAAGAAGCAAGTGCTTGTCTTGTTGGAAAGCTGGGACTTGCGAGACATCAGAATTCATGCCCTTCAGTGGTGCAGAACTGCACACTGGAACTCCATGGCCATGGGCCAAAGCTATCATAATTTGGGGGGTGAAGTTCCATACATGGGAGTGAAAAAAGGAAACTTTTTTGGCCGTACTCCTCCTTTCCCCACTCCCAATTTTTAAATGGTGGATATTTGAAGCTGATGAGAGATTTTTCAGTGTTAGTGTAAATTCCAGTGGAGATGGATTAGTGGACAGAGTGCAGGTGAGAGAGTTAGTTTTGCATGATAAATGCAATTCAACACGAGTTTTCAATTTATCACACTGAAGTCACTAGCATAACTGTGGTATGTAGATATTTATAATAACTACAGTATTCTTCTGTACACACACTTGTTTTTTTCTGGTTGGATTTTTGTGGGCTTTTTTAACTACTTTCACACTGTATAAAAATGTCCTTTTTGCTATATTTATTAAACAATATTTCCTTTTTTATTATAACATTAAAGTAGATGTACTGTATACACAAAAGCCATTACTGCTGTATATAAGGCTGATGTTCCTTTTTACACACTTTTATTAATATTCAAATAGTTTAATGGTTATAGCTATATTAATAAGATATATAGACAATCTTTCTAATGGTTACTGCAATATTAATAAGATATATACAGCACTTTTTAATGGTTATTGTTATTTTAATAAGATGGATAGAACATTTGTATAAGATGTAAGAGTATTAAATACTTAACTTGATCACAGAACAAGCTGTTAGAACGCACACTGTAAGACACAATAGTGAGACGTATAAAGCAGAGTACTACAGTGATTTCACAAATGCTGACGTTATATATGTACTATGAACACCCATAGGGTACTATTTTTAAAATATTTCATTTAGGAAACCACTATTTTTAAGTATAATTTAGCTAAGCAATAAAATTCCTTGAAATCAAGCCTCACTACTCGGGTGCAATATGCCTTGAGCATAAAAGGAACCCAGAAATCCCCCAAAGATACCATTCGGAAATTATGAATGGGGAAATAAAAGAAAACAAATCAACAACATAAAAACCAGCTGAAGTCTAGTATACAGTCAAGCTACTGAAGTAAAGGGATCTATTTTGAAATTCATGCTCTCAGTTATCTAAAGTGTATGACTTGAATAGTGTGGCAGAACTTTCAGCTCCCAACTCGTCATGACTGAAATGTGTGACAAAGATTTTAAGTGCAGTACACAACAGAACTACAGAGAAAGCTATTATTGTTATGTATTACTTGTATTGTGGCAGTGCTAAGAGGCCCCAGGCACATAGTCCCTGCACTAATGCTTATAATGTAAGATGAGACACAAGAGGTGAATGCAAACAGATAATGTAGAAATTATGTAAGATTCATATCTTAACACAAAACATGGTTTCTATAAATGCTTGTTCTTAATTTTGCATGTTTATCTCAGAATTACTTGTCTGTCTAAAATAGCCAGTGTCCCAAAGGCTTGCACTCTAAACAGACAAGCAGAAAAAGGGTATAATATTACATTATCCCCATTTAACAAATGAAAAAGGAGGTATAGAAAGATCAAGGCCTAGATTTGTAAAGGTATTTAGGCACTGTCCCAGTCAGCGCCACAAGGCTGAACTCCTTCACTGACCCATTGCTTAGCAGAACTTTAAAGCTGGAGCAAGTGCCAGTTAAGTAGCAATTTCCGCATTCACTCATGGGGACTGTGTAAGTGTCTATATGTGGGATTTTTAAAAGCCAGGATGAGTGCCACTGTACCTAAATGGACATTTTACCCAGGCACAGCAACTTGCACACAGCAACCTGGCCAGCGCCTACAAACAGCTCTCTCTCTGAAACAACAGCTCCACATACCATAAAGAGCTTTAACTTTTGCAGCCATTACATTTTACAGGGACATTTCCACTACTTACTGCAATGCTGGATGAGAGAACAAGGTTTTATTCCCCAATACCCATTCCTGCTCAGCTATCCTACAACCTATCTCTGTCTAACTGAAATTTTTCTACCAACTCACGTTTCTGGCTGGCTGGCTTATGCTCAATCGCTATTTCATGCTCACCTGATATTTATTTCCACTGCCACCTTTTGCCTTTTTAGCACGTCTTTTTTGCTGTTACTTATCAGATGTGGTCTATGCTAGCTGCTAGAGACTGTGGGACTGTTTTTAATCCCACTTCCATCCTGCTCCACAATACCCACTCCTACTCCCTTCCACATTGTTTCTTGCATTTTTACTCCACTCCCACCCACTACAACCTTAGATCCCACAAGAGAAACAGATTTCCCTCATGTTGCTTAAAAAAAAAAAGGAAAGAAAGAAAGAAAGAAAGAAAGAAAGAAAGAAAGAAAGAAAGAAAGAAAGAAAGAAAGAAAGTTGGTTAGTATATTATATGAATGGAATTTGAACTTAATTTTTACCACTAAAAGAATACATGCTTAAACCTTGCAAAAAATACTTTAACTCCTGTTGACATAGACATAAAATCTCTTTCTACCCCTCACCTAAATTTAAGTATTAAAATCTTTATTATTATTTTTAAAGTATTTTCCCACAAATTACCACAGTCTGTTTTTTTTTTTTTGCCCACACAATCCCACCCACAACAAAGTACTTTCTACCCATACCCACTATTGTGGTAGTGAGTCCTGTGGGACCCGCATGATCCCAATCCCTCTGCAGGGCTCGACCAAATCCCATGTATTAAGCTTGGTGTGAGCAGGTCTATGTGATGGCCCCGGACAGCATGTTAGGGGATGCCTCCACCTGGTTTAAAAATGCCACCTAGTTGCTTAGGCACCTCCATATCAACAAGAGGGCGAGGAGGTGGCAGAGGTAATTGTGTAGAAGTACTGCTAGATAAGTCTGTGACTGACTGTAGTTATGAGCCCCATTTCTCAAGACTATGGACCTGGGGTAGCAGCAGAGCTTGGGATGCTGAGGTTTAGACATTTGGCATTAATGGGCCGGAAAGTAGGTGCCTACAGGGACTTAGGCACCAGCCAGGTGGAAGTTTTAAAAGAACCAGTGGTGGACTTAGGCACCTATCTGCCTCTTTAGGTGCCTAAATACCTTTACAAATCCAAACAGTAGTGACTTTCCCAAGAACACACAGGAAGCCTGTGATAGAGCTGGGAATAAAACCCAGAGAGCTTGGGTTCCAGTGAAGTCTCTTACAAGGCAATGCCTTTTTACTTGTGTAAATCTGGAGTAACGCTACTGACTTCAATATAATTATTATGGATTTAATCCAGAGTTATGCAGGACAGAATTGGCTCCATGTGAAGAAACGTGCTTGTCACAGAATTGTGCCAGACCACATATCATCATCTGAATCTAAAACTAATAGCCCACAAACATGGTAAGTCTATTTCTCTTTCTCTTCTAATCTTTAGTTTCGTTCCCAGTGACACTCAAACTGCTTCCTTCAATGCTCGCTGAAATAGAGTAGCTCAGTTGGTTATAGCCAGATATCACTAATGTAGTCTTTCCTCCACAGAGGGAACTACAAATATAAAAACTCTGACATCAGATTTTCAGCTCTTCCAGAGGAAGGGAAGGAGCAGAGAGAAAGAGAGGAAAAGGAAACATGAGGAATATAGAAGAAAACAAGGTATAAAACTCTCAGTGGCAAGTCATCAGCTGATCTCTGAATTATCACAGTTCCATTGTGGAGCTATGACAATTCAAACCCAGTTTAGGATTGGCCCCTCAATTTTTCTTTCATTTCTTGATCACATATTAACAGTAAAATTGTCACAATGTTTTCTCATATTCATTGAAATTTCACTAGTTTGATTGGCCAAAGGAAAAAATATGTCAAATATTAACACCTGACTAGATTTTCAAGTTGGAACTGGTGAAATTTTTACACCTCAATGTCTTCTTGGAAGAAAACGTTTTCTAAGATATTTTACTACTCTTTAGATACTCCTTTATCTTGCTCTTTTGAAAGATCTTGAATTCCTAGTAGACTAGCAGAGCATTGGGCAGCATTCTTTCAGTCTGCACTCAAGGGTTTCACAAAGATATAAGTGCCTAAGTGGATTTTTAAAATGCCTACGTGCAAATAACTTTAAAAATCTGGCCCTTAGTTCGTTTTGCAGAAAGTGGATCCCTAAATACATTTTATTCATGTATTGAGGCAGCACATGTGCAGTGTGTAGATAAAGCTTGGATGGTTCAGAGTGCTGTTAAGTGCTAGGTCAAGTTCAGCCCTGGTGTAAGAGGTCATTAATCTCACGCAATTCACTTCTTACGCCAAGGTTTGAATTTGGTCTGCTGTCTCCAGTCTGCTTGGACTTCCATCATGCTATCGGATAGTTGGGCACGATGAGGCCAGAAAAATTACCGTGACACTGCCCTCCCCCATATTCATCATAGTGGTATGATGAAATGATTATGACATAATTATGCTGCATCTTATACAAGATATGTCTTGTGAGGTACCTGTGGAAAAGTTATGATTTGCTGAATATGATTATCCTATTTGTATGCATGTATCATTTTTGTTTCTAGGGTTATGGATAGTGACTATGTATCTGTATTTCAAATGTGCTTATTCTCGGTAACACCCACAACAAGCCTTTCAGGTACAATAGTGAAGAAGCTAGTCAGTGCTACTCGCTTATCAACAAAGACAGTGGACCATGGAAGAGCTTAGCCTTCCTGTGAATGTTTCAGCCAGCCTCTGAGTAATGGCTGCTATGACCTAACAAAGCACGCAAGGGCATGTGACCAAACCACATGACACTGAACTCCATTTTGGTACCTGTATTTTTCCACAAACTGGGCAGAGAACTTGGCTTAAAACAAAGGGTTTTAAAACATAGGGAGGGACTATATAAAGTGGGGAGTGACATCATGATTTGTCTTTAGTCCCCCACAACTCAACACCTGAAAGAAGCTCTGAAAGACAAAGGACTTGGAACGGGGGAGGGGAACCCAAGCTGCAAAGCAAATGCAGTTTGTGCGTTAAGAATCTGCAAGCCTGCTTGTATCATCAGTCAGGATGAGAGATTACCGATTAAAATCCTATCTGGTATTTTAGGTTTAGTTTGCAGTTTTGTTCATTTACTACGCAATCTGCTTTGATCTGTTTGCTATCACTTATAATCACTTAAATCTATCTTTCTGTAGTTAATAAACTTGTTTTATACTTTATCTTAACCAACGTGTTTTGAGTGAAGTATCTGGGAAAATCTTAGCTCTGTGGACAAAGGCTGTTGGATATCTTTCCCACATCAAGATGGAAGTGAATATATTAATGATCTTACATTGTACAAATCCCTGTGCAGTGCAAGACAGTATAATTCTGGGTTTATACTCCAGCAAGGGGGCAAGGCTGTGGAGCTGGGGAATTGGCTGTTGTATCCTGTCTGTCCTTGAGCGGCTTAGGTAAAGCATTCAGGTAGTTCAGTTGGGTGTGTGGTGCCACCTGCTGTCATGCTGGGTGATAACAGGGCCTGGACAGGGTGGCTGAATCACCATCAAAGCAGTGTGAGAGAGGCCTGTCCAGCTGTGGGGGCACAGCAGTTCCCACTGCTCCCAGACTGAACCCCAGGGGTGACAACCCATCACAATTACTACTTATTTGCATTGTAGCGTAGTTATGAATCTGTTGGTTTACATGCATTTTTAAAATATCAACATTTTAAGTTTAATTAAAAGTACTGTGGTTTCACATAAACTGTTCAAAGTCTTTGCATAAAGAAAGTACTGCACATATTCTTTTTAGTATGCTAATTTTTCACGTAGTGCATGAAAAATTTTGATCATTGTAGTAATAAAGTTTAATTTAGAATGCTTGATTTTGACATAGCAGGGAAATTTAAAACCTGCAATAACTGAAGCAAATCATTCATGCACGGAAAACAAAAAAAAATATTCTGACAAATTGTTATAACACAATTTGTTCAATATCTCAGCAACAGTAATGAGAAGATCCTTGCACATGTTTGTTTTCAAACTGTTCCTATTTCTGTTTCATATTAGGTTAATGCTGTCTACAGAGGTGTACTGAGCACTTCCAGCTGCCATTCTTAGCGTTCTGAGCACTTCCAGCTGCCATCAGCTGCCATGACTTTAATAATATTCCATACTAACTATATATAACCAATTTCTGTTAGTTAGTATAATCCAATTTCTGGATTTACCCTATAAAGCAAACACACATCCTCTGTTACTTATAATTATTTGTCTTTGTAAGGAATGAGATTATTTAAACTTGAATAATGGTGTTTTTTAAATAGTTCAAAATAAGATCATTCAGTTGCAGTTAAATTTCTAGAGGAAACTATTTGAAATCATTTTAACATAGAATATACAAACTTTTGTTCAGGTATAATAAACTCCCTAGGAAAGACATGTCAAAAAGTTCTTGTGTAAATAGTCCTGTTTCTGGAAGGGAATCTGCTGTCAGTTCCCTCATTTGATTGAAAACCAGTATCCTGAAATACCCTGAGAATTGTGCATATATATATATATATATATATTTAAAAAAAAATCAGTGTGGGTGTGTGAACGAGTGAAAACTGTTTTTAGAAGAGAAGAGAATTATTTTTATTTAAATGGGCCCAATACCTTTTCTGGCTGGGCTGTGTGTAGGGCTCTGGGAGTTGGGGGGTATTGGAAGGAGGTTTTAAGCAGTCTTCACATCTCCTTGTCCCAAACCCTAAGGCTAGTTTGGCCCACAAGGCTAGTTAATGCACATTTAGGGCTAGTATCAGCTGGTAATGTCCCCACAGGAGGCCATCACATCTACTGTGGATCACCAGAGAATAGAAAGTAGTCTGGCCAAGCCTATTCCCACTATACTTATGCCAGACCTGTGCCACCTGGGGTTTCCCTCAGAGTAGGTGAATCCTCAGCTGCCTAGTCAAAGAGCCATGCCAAAGCGGCTGAATATGTTAAAATTTCCCCAAAGAAACTTCTCTTTGAATCCACATACATTTTAAAGTATCTAGCAGCTGTATTAAAACATGATGCTACTTCAAAATTATTGCATATTTATAATCAGGCAGGACAAATACCTCAAACAATTCCCCATGGAAACTAGCTCAAAATGAAGTTGAATTGTTCTACCTGTGTTCATTCTACTTTTGCATTTGCTTTCTGTGCATATTCTAGCAAACAAGTTCACTGGGAAGATTGCTCAAAAAGCAAAAGAACAGATAGGTAAAATTAATTGTTGGGCAAATTTCCAAACTATTAACTCATTTTGTGTGCATGAACCTTTGTTCACTTTTTTCAAACAGTAACACATACGAGCACAGGTTCTGAATTTGCAGGCACAAACCACATCTGGACAAGTGGATATGCACACATTCTAAAATCTCCCACGCAGGTGTTAATATCTCTCACTTGCTTGCACAGGAATGCTCAAAAGAGAATGTATGCAGCTGTTTTTGCATGCATTTAGAATAACTTTAGTGCTACCCTGGGACAATAAGAATCTGCTTAACTTCCAGTGCAGGGTTACCCATAATAAACAAACAAACTATAGTCCAACTGTTATGCAGATAATCACATTAGTCTTTAGGAGCTTTGTAACAGGTTATACATGAGATTTATTTTTACTGAGACAGGTCATATTGGCCACATAAGTTTATCACCTACAGGACTTGTTCGAAGTACCATGAGATCCTTAACTTTCACCTAGAAAGTTAGGTGCTCAAGATGGACTCTGACCATTACGACTTACTGAAAGGATTATATCCCTCAGTATGTCTGCTCTCCCCTCTTACTGCACTGTAACACAAGCAATAAACATGAGCCCCAAGCCTTTTATGCTCAAGGACAAGAGTGTTGCCAACCATCATGAGTCGTACTGCGTTTAATAATTTCAGTAATTTTGACATGGATGATCATCTCCATTGGACTTCATTGAGTCTTGGGTAATTTCCAAGATATGAAGGTTTCTTGTACTCCTTAGAAAATTCCCAAGTTGTAATAATTACCATTGGGGAATTCTTCCGTTTAAAAGCACAAGGAGTTGGAATGATGCCAGGTGGTAACTATTCAGCTATTGGCTATTTCTATTAAGCGTAAACAACCAGAAACTGCTACAATTTCAACTGGTAAACAATTTAAGACTACAAACGCCCCACTAAAAATAACCATAGTATGAAGAAATCTCAACTACCAATAATCCAACAACAGAAGGATCCTAATTAGGAGACAAACCAATCCTAGAACAAACCTAACAGCAGAAGGCGGCTTATTTGGCAATATTTGATTCTTTAAGGATCCCTGTGATAAAGATATGAAAAGGGCACAAATCTCACCTGCAAAACCCTTTACATTTATTTTTTTTAATCTATTGTCATTTCAAAGGGTAAGTTCTTTGTACTTTCTGAAAATTAGGCCCCTTTAAGGTGTCTAAAGTTGGTCACAGGGCCTGGACAGTATTGAAATCAATTCAAAAAAATGGAAGGACTCTGTGGTATTAATGCTCCATCACGACAGGGTTGGGATTGCTGGGACATCTGCAGCACTCTTTGCACTCCAGCCCCCTGGCAATATGATCTCATTAGAAACCATGTTGCCCCTGCATTCCTACCTAATCTCGCCCACAAATTCCAACCTGCCTCCCTACCCCCACCACTCCTCAAGAT